ACAGGGCTGCTATCCTTCATAGCTAGTTATGGCATAACATCCAGAGGGCAGATGAAGCTATAGTGAAGAAGCACTCTTGACTGTGAGGCTGGAGTCCAGGATTTTGGCCTTGGGTCTATTTTTGAGTAATCATGTGATCCTTAGGAAATCATTAATCTAATAAAACCAATGTGTTTTATTGGAATTGTGCTGAATACTGAGATACCTAAATAAGTCACATACTCTGCTTCATGGAGGTCACAGTCTAGTGGAAGTGAGTGACAGGAAAATCAGCGACTCAAATGAGGTATAATAAGTCTCAAGAAGCCTACACTAGATATAGAAGAACAGAGGAAAAACTCTTGGATGGGGCATCTAACATCTGGAGGTAGGAGAAGAAGGTCAGAAAATGCTTTTCAAAGAGTGGTGATATCTAAACTGAGACCTGGAAAACCCTGTTTTGTTCATTGCTGTATTCAAGCACCCAGAAGAGTGCCAGGTACAGGGTAGGTATTCAATAAGCATATGCTTGCTTATGAGAGTAAAGAGAGAATTCCATGTAGCTAGAAGGACTTAGGCAAAGATGTGTAGTCATCAGAAACATGACGAGTTCAGAGAACTCTAATTATGGAGTTCTAAAGTGGGCAAAGCAGGAGTGGTTGGGCCTAAGGCTGGAAATACAGCTCAAGGCTTGGGCTTTGGAACTTTTTCTTGAAGGCAGTGGGGAGCCACTAGAAAATTTAAGCACAAGAGTCACACAATCAGTGTCAGCTTGAGGTACCAGTTATCAATTTTTGCCTCTCAGCTCCAAATTCACCTTGTATTTCCTCCTCTGCAAAAATTGAACTAGGTCCTTTAACATTTTTCCCTTGCCAGCCGCCATAATGGTAAGCTTTGTTAGTACAGGGCACTGGAAGGACTGGAGGAGGAAGAGGTTTCTCTTTGGAATTTAGAAGTGCTCCTCTTGCTAGGGTCCAGGAACTTGTAGTTTCTCCCATGCTGGGATTCTGTAGCACACAGCTTTTCCAGCATCTGGTTCATGCAGTGTGTGATCTCCTGAGTACCCAACTGCTGCAGTACACAGTGGCCAACAGTGACCCGTGGCTAGCAGTGCCCCCGGCACCTCTTGGGAAGCTCTGTAGCAGAGTGAGTCACCTTTGTGTGAATGGCTTCTCTGGTGTTTCAGAGAGTAGATTTTGCCTGCCTGGCACCTCAGCAATTTCTCTACTCCCCAGTCAGCTGTGGCCATACCCTCTGCACCAAGCTCTGGGAAAGGTTTCCTTCTTGGGTCATCTGTCTCAGGGAGAGGGATTGCTCCTTATATCCATGATTCCTGTATATTTTAGATCTCTCCCGACATAGCAGCCAGTCCTTCATTTCTCCATTCCCATCATTAGCAATTCTTTATATTGAGCTTGTTAAAATTACTATATGCTCAAAAATTACTGTATGATTTATTTCTCTTTGTTGTACTCTGAAACCCACGACTGACAGCTGTGTGGATGGGCTGAAGCGAGAGTGGTTAAGCTTCAGGCAGAGAGCCAGGTTAGGAGAATATGGCAGCACTTTTGACAACTCTCAGGAGTTTCACTGCCTTGAAAAGTAGTTGTCATAGAGATAAAAGAGACAGGTATTTAGGAGATAGGATCTACAGGATTTGGTAACTATAGGAGGAGGAGGAGGAAGAGAAGGTGGAGGAGGAGAAGAAAAAGAAAGTGGAGGAGAAGGAGGAGGCAGTGAAGGACAGAAGAGTCTAGAGTGACTATCAGTTTTGAAGCTTGGATGACTGGGTGCATGGTAGTGCTACCCTGGTAGAAATGGAAAACACTGAAGGAGGGCCAGGTCAAATTATCCTCCCATGTTCCCATTTACTTTCAGAAGCTCCATGCACTTTTGAATCTCCAAAAGTTGAAATCATAGATTCTTTAAGTCAAAGAGGCACCAAAGCTCAGCTTTTCTGCCTTTGGGCAATATGGGACACTTGTTCACCTCAAAGAAGTGGGAGAAAGGTCCATTCTAAACATTTCTCAATTCTAACATTTCATAAATTTCTTTTCCATTTTTAAAGCTCTTGGATGGTAGGCCTTCTTAAATTATACAGAGCTCATCCATACCACCAACTCTTCCAATTCAATAAATTTCCTCTTAAGTGGAAGCTACATGCCTCCCAATGTGAAATGACAGGCCAACATACACCTGCCAAGTGCTGAAGAATGCAGGTCTTAAAATAGACTATAGTCTTGTTTCTAGAACCTCTCACTTGGTTTTATTGGTATGGGCTAAACAGGGCTTCTGTTTCATAAATGGAAGTGTCCAGTTACATGAATGAAAGGCTCCAGGCCAGAATCTCAGAGGCAGTTTCTATGAGCAGTACTTGGAGCCAAGCACCAGGCAGCTGCACATCCCTGTTTGGGTTTGGCACGCGGTTGCTCTTGTTTGGAATGCATTCCCCTCTTAACAAGTTAATTCTTCCTTTCGAGGTCTGCTCAGCCTTCCCTGACCACCCTGTCAGTTCCATTGTACATACCCTATCAGAGCATCACTTACCTATCGTTGGTGTGATTCTTTGAGTAACATGTGCCTCCCCCAGCAAACTCCACGGCAGGAAGGGTCAGTTTTTGCTCACTACACCATCCCAATGCCTAGCCCAGTGCCTGGAACTCGGTGTTCAATAGAGACTAGTAAAAATGAATGAGTGATAGCAGTCTGTGAAGTGCTAGCTATAAAATGAATGAGTGACAGCAGTCTATGAAGTGCTAGCTATAAAATGTATCAGTGATAGTAGTCTGGGAAGTGCTAGGTATGCCCACTGGTCCTCATGACAATTCCCCCAAAGCTATTTCTATATCCATGTTTCTGATGAAAAAGCAGAGGTGTGGCTCCTCCGTGAAGGGCTCTGTTTCCAGACTCTTGAGTCTCCCCATAACTGTCCTTCAGTTAAGAAACCGTAGAATAGTATTCTGGGTACAAAATACGCACACGATTTGGCCAGAAAGCCATAATTCCCCTGTCCCCTCCCCCGCCCGCCCCCCAGTCACATTCTCTTAAAGATCTCCTTCTCTTCCTTCCCCCTGCTCTGTGAACAAGGAGAGGCTCCAGGGGCGCCGGGCAGGACTCCTCCCTCAAACCCGCTCAGAGCCCTGCCCTCCCTCCACTTCCCCTCCGGGGTGGCTACCTCAGGCTCGCTCCCAAACCGGCTGTCTGGCTTCAGGCGACACCTGGCGCCTGGCCTCAAGGGAGAGATGTGGGGAGAGACCCAGTGCCTACCACCCTTGGCAGAAGGAGACCAGTAGAAGCTAGGCGGGGAGGGCAATAGCAGCCGGGGAGGCAGCAGTGGCGGGACCCTACCGCCGTTAGCTTTAGGACCCTGATCGCTCCGCCTTCTCCTGGCAGCCCCTGCAGGGGCTCAGCTGCCAGGTCTCCGGGGGCGCGCCGGGTGTGACGTCACAGAGCCTCCCGGCCCCCTCAGCAGAGGCGCGTTCCCAGGGTCCTCACAGAGCCTCCCGGCCCCCTCCGCAGAGGCGCGTTCCNAGGGTCCTCACAGCCTCCCGGCCCCCTCCGCAGAGGCGCGTCCCCAGGGTCGTCACAGAGCCTCCCGGCCCCCTCAGCAGAAGCGCGTTCCCAGGGTCCTCACAGAGCCTCCCGGCCCCCTCAGCAGAGGCGCGTTCCCAGGGTCCTCACAGAGCCGCCCCGCCCTCTCAGCGGAGGTGCATTCCCAGGGTCTTGCTAGGGCGCTCCTGGGGGAAGCTGAAAGCTCCTTTGGGCTTTGCTGGTTGTGAAAGGACCAGATGGCCTGGAGGGTGAAGGATAGGGCGTTAGGAAACCCGGGCTGGGGGCATTGGGGATGGGGCAGAATGTGGAGCCATTTACCCTGCACTTTTGGAAGTGAAAGAACGAAAGTGGAGCTTAACTTGATCTTTTGGTTTGCAGAAAGTGGACAGGTGAGAAGTCTTGGAGAATCATAGTAAGAAACACTTCTTACAGCACGTGTTTTGGTGTCAGGAATTGTTCTAAGTGCATTACACACATGAACTCATTTCGTCTTTACTGTCATCCCATGAGGCAAGTACTGTTATTATCCCCATTTTTACAGACGAGGGAACTGGGCACAGAGAGGTTAAACTTGTCCGAGGTAACAGTCAGCAAGTGGTAAGAGTCAGGATTTGAACCTGGTTTTCGTGGTCCCAGATTCCTCACTCTTGACCTTATAATGCTAAGAAAGGGGGATGTAATGCGTAGGAACAAAGCCTGAGCTGCCTCCTGGGGACAACAGGGAAAGACAGAAGGTATTTACTGGATAGAATGTGGTCACTGTGCTAGGGCACTTTTACAAACATGATGAGAATGTCTCACAGTAACTCTGAAGGTATTTAGAAATTTCATTTTAGAAATAAAAAACAAGCATAAGGCTTTGCATAACTTTGCCTGCGATCAAACAGCTGGCAGTAGGGCCCAGGGCCCAGCTTGACTCCAGGGCTTCTGATTTCAAAAGTTTTTTTTTTTTTTTTTTTCCCCTGAGACAAGGTCTCACTCTGTCACTCAGGCTGGAGTGCAATGGGGTGATCATGGCTCACTGCAGCCTCAACCTCCCAGGTCTAAGCAGTCCTCCCACTGCAGTCTCCCAAGTAGCTGAGCCTACAGGTGTGTGCCACCATGCCAGGCTATATTTTTATAAATGGGGTTTTGCCATGTTGCCCAGGCTGGCCTTGAACTCTGGGCTCAAGTGATCCAACCACGTTGGTCTCCCAAGTATTAGGATTACAGGTGTGAGCCACCACAGCTAGCCTCAATACTGTGCTTTTTAAGCACAAAGGAGGGACGAAAAGCCCCATCTTTCTCTGCTACACCCCTTGTCACTTCACACGCATTTTAAAGGTGCCCATTTCATCATCTAATCTTTCAGTCCATTTATTCAACAGTGTGTATTAGTCTAAATCAATTAGTTCACCCAGGGCCTTCAAAGCTTTCTCTGGTTGTGACATGAAAGCCTTTGTCTCTCCTTAAAGCAATTTTAAGGATCAGTGAACAAGTAGGGGAACTAGATTTTTGGTTTATGCATGCAGAAAGCTTTTCACGGCCTGCTGCCATTCATTTATAAAGAGGCCACTCTGCTGGCATTTGTCAAAATCCTGCAGTCCTTGTATATCTGGAGAATCCTGGATGATCTGGGGATGGCCACTGCCCACAGGCAAGATCTGGGGATGAAGGAAATCTACTTAACTGGCTATCACCTGCCTTTCTGAGGCCTCTGTGAAGGGGCTGCCAGGTGTTGGTGTAGGCATCTGACCAACAGGATGTGCCTTAGGATGGGAGGGGGAGGCTGGAGGCCTGAGGGCTGCAGGTGCATCTTCCAGGATAACAAGAGTGCTCTGGCCACTGGGGTCTGTTCTATGTATGCACATGGGATGAAGGCGTGCCAGTCTATTCCTGCTTTTATGCAGAGTAAATGATATCGACAGGAATGAATAATAATTATCTTTGTGCAGAAGAACGGGCTTTTCAGACAAAGCACTAGCAGCTGGAGATGGAAGATGAAATAAAATAGAATGTTAGTGTAGCAGGTTAAATGCAAGGGAGGAATTTCCTGACACTGTCTAACTGAGGTGGTTTGATGTCTGTCTCTAGGAGGCCAGGTTGAGAGGCATAGGTTAGATTATCCTGGATCTATCAGTCAGTAAATAGGATACAATCAAGAGAATATAATTTTACAGGGAAATGATAATAACACAATTCAGGAAAGTTGCTTTCTTCTAAAACAGAGGTAAGAGTAGGAGAGGGAGGAACACATAGATGTTAGTGGTAGTGGTCTAGCTTTTGGGGTGGATGGTGGATTCATGGATGTTTATTATGTTTCAGTAAAACAATCTGTCTTCAATATTACAATAAAATCTTTTATTACATAAAATCTTTTATCAATTAGGTTACGTTGTTTTCTTGTACAAATGAAAATTGACTATACCTTTTCTCATCATTTCCCTTTTTCTGCTAGGTAATTCTAATCAACATACAAACATATTCTAATTTCTCCCATCATTTTCCTCTTCAGCTTTGACCCATTTCTCTTCTTCCTTTTATTGCCAAGTTCTTTAAAAGAATTGCCCATACCTGCCACCTCCCATTTCTCTCTTCCAAATCTCTTTTGAATCTATTTAAACCAGGCTTTCATCCCCATCACTCCACTGAAATGACTTGTGTCAAGGTCCCCAATGACGTGCTGTTAAATCCAACATCATCTCTTAGCCTCAGCTCAACCTATGAGCAGCATTTGACCCTGTTGATCAACTTCACATGCTTGAAACAGTTTTTCCTTGGATTCCAGGACAAGTGTGAACGCTTGCTTTTTCTCCTTCCTCATTGGCTGTTCTTTCTCAGTCCCTTTTCCTTGCTCTTCCTCCTCTCCCTGACATTTTGATCTTGGAGTGCCCCAGGATTTACATTTGGACTTCTCTATCTACATGAACTCTCTTTTTGATCTCATTTAGTCTCATGTTTTGCATATCAAATTTATGTCTTCAGCCCTAATCCTTCCCTAGACATCACAATATAACATCCACTGTCTACTTTGTCCCACTGAATATTAATAGGCTTCTCAGGCTGAATACCCCACAACTGCACTCCAAGGTTCCTCTCCAAATCAGCTTCTCCAGGCTTCCCCATAGCAGCAAATGCCAACTGTAAATTCCAGTTGCTTAGGCTAAAAAACCTTGACATTATCCTTGACTGCTTTTTCTCTCACACCTTAAATCCACTCAGAGCAAATGCTATTGGCTGTATCTCCAAAAGTCATTCAGAATTAGAGCACTTCTCTCCACGTCCTTCACCTTGGTCCAAGCAAACCTCATCTCTCACCTGGACCATTACAGTGGCTTCCTAACCCATCTCCTGTTTCTGCCCTTTCCCTTCTGTGGCCTGTTCTCATCACAGCTGCCTAATCACTTTTTTGGAATCCTAAGACTAATCATGTCATTCCTGTATTTAGAACTCTCAGTGGCTCCCACCTTATGCAAGTAAAAGTGAAAGTAACCCACAAGCCCTTAAACTCTCTGAACACATCATTTTCTCTTTTCTCCTTCTTCACTACCCTCCAGCCATTCTGGCCATCTTACTGTCCCTCAGAAAGGCCAGACCCTCTCCTGCCTCAAGACTTGCACTTGAATTTCATCTGCCTGGAACATGATTTCCTCAGATATCCACATGGTTCACTCCTTAGCACCTTTGGTTTGTATCCAAATGTGACCTTCTGGGGGAGTCTTATCTGATTCTTTTAAGTGGAACACCAATATCACTTCCAACGCCTCCCTTGCTTTACAGTCATTACATACTATGTATTTTTTAATTTTTGTTTTATTAATTTCTCTTTTTTTTTTCACTGGAGGGCATGGGGTTTTGTTTGTTTTAGTCGCTGCTGTATTTCTGGAGCTAGAACAGAACTATGCACATAATGGGCACCATAAATATTTGTTTCCTGAGTTAAATTCTCTTTTTGTTTTTTCTCTTTCCACTTTGCTTCCCCTTCCTTCCTTATTCCAAGAGGCCCTTCTGAAAAATGATACTTCAGTGTTGTGTCAGCTTTGCATGTTCAGTATCTTAGGGACTGAAATTCTATTTGGCCTAATAATGACAGGTCTGGCACCAGAGAGTAAGAATCTTGACTGCCTTCTCTACCATCTCAACATTATAGTAAATATCAACTGTCTCATACTAACTATGAGCTCAGAAAGTCAGTTCTCCCTATGCTGTGTGCCTCCTGACTGCAAGTAATCCACTTGCCTTGGCCTCCTAAGTGCTGGGATACAGGCATGAGCCACCGCACCCAGCCTGCCACATAATTTTAATCACAGGAATGACTCCTCCTCATATTCACAGGTCTCACTAACACTTAACAGGGATGATGAGCTTATACATAGGGCATGTACACCAGCGGGTGGAAATGTTGGAGGCTGTTCTTAGAATCTTGCCTACAACAATATGCCTCTTTGTAAGAGAATATGATGAGAAGGTCCATCATCTCTCTTCCAAGTTGGAACCAGTGAGATGACAAGCGTAGCCACTCATTATGGTTGTGGATTCCCTCCTCTTCCTGCAACCTCTGTGTGTAGTCTTTTTCCAGAACCTAGGAGAGTAACACCTCCTATGCCCACTCAATTAAGAAGAACAAACCACAAAATTCCACACAAGTAAAAATGTCTACCCAATCAAATTCTATTTCCTTAAGGACTTGAGTGATTGGAGGAAAAAAAGAGAATATTTATCACTGGGAGGTGGGGTGAGTTGTGTGGACAAGATTCCTCCCTTCTTAACACCTGTGTCTTCTGTGGCTGCTCTGATTCTCCTTAGGACTGCCCTGGCCCATATGGCACCTTTGCATACATTAGAAAAGGGTGGTTGCTCAGGGATAGATGTAGCCCCTTGGGCATATGGCCTGACAAGTAGGGTAGGAGCTGAACTTCAGCCCACTCTCACCTTCGGAAAACTGCTTGGTTTTCCTGCCTCCTGAGCCTTCTATTTCTATCCCACATTATTCATCTTCTAAATAATGCACAACACTCCCTTGTTCCCCACCATTACCAAAGGAGGGAAAAAAAAAAGAAAAACCTCAGTCCTTGGTTTTCTCTTTGTCTTCCCTTCATTCTTAAGAGATCAAGGAAGCCCAGGAGATTCATTCTATCCTCCTATGGATAGAAGTTTTTCAGCTAGCTCTCTGCATGGATGACTCAAATCTATACTTAAAGTCTTAACCTCCCTGCTCAACTCAGTCCCATGTCCAAATGTCCTGGATTTCATTCAAACAAGCTCACAAAGGGCACATCATCTTCTCCAAGGCTGGCCCCATAGTGCTGTCAGTGGAGACATCCTCCTCCCTGTTATTTCACTGCAAACCTTAGAATCACCCTTAGCCACTTCCCTCTGCCTCTTCTCACACAGCCCATCTGCTTCTCACCTACAAGCCCTGTGCCTTTGTCTGTTTCTTGCCAGTCTCACTGCTCCACACTGATCTAAGCCCTTAGCATCTTATATGCCCCTTGTGTTTCAACGATTTTCTGATCATGGTCTCCTCCATTTCCTCTCCCAGTAGTTCTCAACTTGGGCGTAGTTTTGCATCCCTAGGGTACATTTGGCAATGTATGATGACGTTTTTTATCATCGCAACTGGGGGTGGGTTGCTGTTAGCATATAGAGGGTAGGGGCAGGGCTGTTGCTAAACATCCTACAAAGGAGAGGACAGTCCCCCAAACAATTATCCTACTCCAAATGTCAGTTGTGCTGTGACAAAGAAACTATGACCTATGCCAATTCCTACAAGCTTCCTGAATGTTACAGCCTTACTCTTCTTAAGAAAATGCGCTGTGTACATATTGCCTCCTCACTGGAAAAAAAAATATATTTCCCATTTCCTATATCCACATGTCTACTTCTGCTTAAGATGATCTCCCCCTTCCTTTTCTATGCCAGTGTATCCTTCCTTTCTCTTAAGGCCCATAGCAGGATCTCCGGCCTGTGTGCTGGGCTCGTCTCCATTTGTCTCGCTAGGTCCACTCTCTAGCCTCCCTTCTCTAGCCTGGTGTCTGCACCAGAACTGTATCCCCTGGACTTCTTTGCTCTCTAATAGCTGGTTGGATTTGGCCTGTTGACGGTATCAGCAGGTGATCATATATTGGGTATGTATTTCCCAGCTCCCAAACTGAGCTTCTTGCTTTGCATCCGTAGCCTCAGCTACTGTCTAGCACTCTGTCTTCCATGGAACCAGTTCTCATGTGGCTCCAATAACATCATTCCCTCCCTTGCCCTTTCAGGTCTAGGGGTGGTAACGGATTCCACAGTTGCTAGTCCCTAAGCTCACCACTGTGATTGGTTCACTCAACTCTGCCTGTTCTCTGGCAAATAATTCCGTAGTTAAACTCTCTTGAGTATGCCATCTGCTTCCTGCTGGATCCTCAATGATGCTCAGTCACTTGAGGATTCTCTCTTCTCTTGGCTGTCATACAAAACTTACAGTTGGGACCACTCCTCTGTCATTCAACATGTACACCTTGATACTGCTGTGATCCACTTATATCTAGTATTTTCATGATTTCTACCCATGTTGCAAACTCCATGGGTCAGGGCTATCTAATGCAACATTTCCACTCTCCTCACATAGTGTCTGCTCAATCAGTGTTTACCAATGAAAATTATAATAGAATTGCTGGCAAGATGACTGAATAGAAACAGCTTTGTTGCACAGCACCCAGCAAGACTGATGTAGAAAGCGGGATATCTCCGCATTTCCAACTAAGGTACCTGGTTCATCTCATTGGGACTGTTTGGACAGTGGGTGCAGCTCAAGAAGGGTGAGCCAAAGCAGGATAGGGAGTCGCCTTACCCGGAAAGCCCAAACTCTAGTCAAGGTAAGCCACTAAGGACTGTACCCTGGACTCTGGCCCAGATACTGTTATTCCCGTGGTCTTCACAACCCTCAGACCAGGAGATTCCCTCTGGTGCCTACAACACCAGGGCAGTGGGTTTCCAGCACAAGACTGGGCGGCTGTTTGGGAAGACACCAAGCTAGTTGCAGCAGTTTTTTTGTTTGTTTGTTTGTTTTTGTTTGTTTGTTTTTATAACCCAATGGTACCTGCAATGCCAGTGAGACACTTGTTCACTCCCCTGGAAAGGAGGCTGAATCCAGGGAGCCAAGTGATCTGGCTTGGTGGGTCCCACCCCCACAAAGACTAGCAAACTAATTTCCACTGGCTTGAAATTCTCACAGCTGGCACAGCAGTCAGAGCTCGACCTGGGACGTTTGAGCTTGATGGGGGGAGGGCCATCTGCCATCACTGAGGCTCCAGTAGGTGATTTTAACATCACAGTGTAAACAAAGCCGCCAGGAAGTTCTAAATGGGTGGAGCCCACGGCAGCTCAGCAAGGCCTCTGCAGGCAGACTGTGTAACTAGATTCCCTCCTCACTGGGCAGGGCACCTTTGAAAAAAGGAAGCAGCCTGTCAGGGACTTATAAATAAAGCCCTCACCTTCCTGAGGCAGAGCACCTGGGAAAAGGGGCAGTTGTGGGTACAGCTTCAGCAGACTTAAACGTCCCTGCCTAACAGCTCTGAAGAGAGCAATAGATTTCCCAGCACAGCATTTGAACCCTGATAAGGGACAGGCTGCCTCCTCAAGGGGCTCCCTGACCCCCATGTATCCTGACTGGGAGACACATCCTAGTAGAGGCCAACATATGCCTCATACAGGTGAGCTCTGGCTTGGAATCTGGTGAGTACCCTTCTGGGACAAAGCTACCAGAGGAATAAACAGACAGCAATCTTTGCTGTTCTGCAGTCCCCGCTGGTGACTACCAGGCGAGCAGGGTCTGGAATGGACCTCCAGCAAATACCAGCAGACCTGCAGCAGAGGGGCCTGACTGTTAGAAGGAAAACTAACAAACAGAAATAGTTTCAACATCAACTGAAAGGACATCCTCACCCTCAACCGCACTCTACAAGATGAAATCCCCTGAGACAGAGTCAGGGCCTTGGGGAGGAGGAATACAGGGTGATGGGCCAGGTCTCCAGGTCGGCCAGGCAAGGGGAAGAAAGAGTGGAAGAGACTGTGAGGTTTGTTTTTTGATGCTGGCGATGATGAGGGTGTTTCTTCTAGGGTGATAAGAACTACGGCCCAGGGCCAGTACTCTTATCCAGTAGCAAACAATAGGCTGCCATTAGGGGTCTCTCCAGAATAAAGGGACATTTCTATAGTGAGTCCAAGGTCCCTGGAAGGTGGTTTTCTAGGTGAGCTACTCCAAGAACATGAGTGGATATAGGAGGTGCAGACCAGCTGGGTGCTGAAGGGAGTGGCCACCAAGGGGCTACATTCTGGCAACTGGTGACCCTAATTAGCTCTACTCACCTTCACACCTGAACTTGACAGTTTGATTTTCCCTGAACTCCTGGCTTTGGGGCTTGCTCTCAAATTTGGGGAATGCTGCATCCCTCTGGTCCTCCAGGGGGATTCTCCTGGTAGCAACTTTGCTCGCAACGTCTTGGCTTCCCAGGCCAGGCTGCCTGGTGGAGAAGGTGGCTGGATGGGGAGCAGCTGGCCCCTTCCTTTTTTCTCCAGAAGGTGATAGGGCCCCCAGGACTGATGCTCTTGGTTCCGGCTGAACGCTTGCGGCCTGCAGGGTGATGGAGCTGGAAGTCTTCTGAAGGACCAGGGTTTGCGGGGCTATTCTGGGTGAGTCCCTGTATGACTCCAGCTTGGACTCCCTCAGGGGCTGAGGCTGGTGTTTTGGGGCCCAGGCTGGGGAGCCACCTCTCTGGGGACTGGAGCAGTTCTTGCTCTTGGCTGCAGCCTCCAGACTGTCCAGTTTTGATGCTTTTGAGATTGTACTGGTCACCTCCCTCCTGATGTCTGAATTGGTGGCTTTCGTTTCTCTCCCAAATGATCTGTGTGGTGGAGAGGGTGAGGAGAGGGGAGAATAGAATGATCACCTGGTTATTCACAAATATGACTCATCACAAGCACGGGTTCCAGGGATCACAAAAGCTCACAAGTTAAGAGCAAGTAAGAGCATCTTTCTCTGCAGTTTGCCCAGTTCCCCAAGCCAGAGCACAAGCAGTCGTTCCCAACACATCCCTGTCCTGCAGCCCTGCCCAGAGCCCTGCTTTCCCTACACTTCTCTTCTCCCCTGGTGCCTCCCTAGTTCAAACCCCACCACCGGTGTCCCATGTCTACTCTGCCCTCTCTAATCTATTTTCTATACAGCAACCATAGTTGATTTTTGAAAACATAAATCATGTCATTTCAAGTCCAAGGATTTTCCAACAGTTTTTCCACTACATTAAGAACGAAACTGAGCCCCACGAGATGGCCCACAGAAATGGCAGCTCTGGCTGCTCCTGACTTGTACAATACCCTGTCCCACCACCCACTAGGCTGCGGCCACACTGGCGTCCTTCTGGGTCCCATGGGCCTGCCTCTTGGTTCACAGCTTGTATACGCTATCCCTGCCGTTTGGCGCACACTCTGAGCTTAGCCTCACCAGCTAACATTCCTCTGCACAGGTCTGAGCTCAAATACCAAGTGCCTCAAATGGCTTCCCTGCTCCTCTATTCTCATCAGCGCCCTCCTGGAACAGACGTTTTCCAGTTGGTAACGTGTGTGCTTGTGGCTCTGTCCAAGCTAGAAAAGAGGTTCCTGTTGGATCTGGGCTGGATGGGTGAACAGATTCTGCCCTGGAATGAGGAAGGCAGCCTTGTCAGAGCAGTCAGGACACTAACCAAGGAAGAGACTGCGTAGATAATGAGAAAGGTGGTGACACTGAGTTTTCGTCTCAATACCCGTGTGTCATATTACAATAGGAGAACAAGACAAAACACCCAGAATTAAACAACACCCTCTAAACAGCCAGTTCTTCTGCCCCATAAGACGATTCAGAAATTCAGGACATTTCTTGATAGCATCCCCTCTTTCCTTGCAGGACATTTCATGATGGAAAATGTAACAAAACCTAGACCTACCTATTAGCACTGTTCAAACCTGGAAAAAGTGGGAAGGGTGGAAAGACTGTTAGCAGAATGCTATACACACCAAGCTCTCCCTCCCCAAGCACTTCCCCGTCACTGTGGTCCCACCCTGCTGGCTCCTTCCAGCTTCCCTGGTGCTGAACATCTTTGGCCTGTAAATTCCCTCCCACGCCCCAGCCCTGGAGTACACTGTCAAAGCTTCAGGTGCTGTCCTTCGGGCTTTTTAATAGTGGCTAGTGCCACCAGACCCTGAAGGCATGGAATCTGTTTCTGTTCACTAAACAGAAGGAAACAAAAACCAATCCGGGGACAAACTAACATCTACTGAAAATTCCAAACCCAAATGCTGTAATTTATTATTGTACAGAGAAGCATACTTTTAATTTTCTCCAGTTCTTCAAAGAAGAAACATAAAATATATATTTTTTCCTGCTATATTCTTTTTCCACTTTTATCAAGGTAAATTTCAAAATATACAATAATAGAAAGATTTAACAAACCCTGAAAGCTATCACCATGATTAAGGAGATAACATTTTGCCAGTCTTATCTATTCATTTTTGTTTTATTTGATTTTCGATATTTTGAAACAAATCCCAGGCAGCATATTTTGTCATGAGATCCATCAGGACAGAACAGTTTTTAACTCAATGCCAGGACAAGTACAGGGAAAGTGCCTGATCCATTGCTTTGGGTGCCTGGTGGCAGCTCCTTATCCAACACTGAGTCACCAAATCAAGTTCTCTGGTCAATATGAGGATTTCTTGTTTTAATGATGTCAAATGAAATAGAGAATACTAACATGCACTGCACATTGTACGAGTCAGGAGGATTTCTTGAAACTTGGAGATTTACCTGCATATACATATTCTGGGTTACAATGTACTCTGAAATACATTTCTTTCTGTAGATTGTGAAAAATACCTGGGCCAGAAGAAGTAACAAGAGCAAGGAGGGATCATTTCTGAGAAAAAGGAGATGCAGAGAGAAAAATCAGAAGAAAAGAGGAGGAGAAAGAAGGAAGAAGGACTGAAAGCCACTTCCCTTCCTGCCCTCTGAGTTCCTGCTCCAGTGAAGTGACATGCAGCCCCTTCTCTGCACTCCCTCCACAGGCTGGATGTGAGGAACCGAGGAACTCTAAGGGGGAGACGTGTTCAACGAGACTTCTAAGGAAGAACTGACAGGGCTGATGACTCAAGGGGAAAGAGGCAGGGGTCAAAAGGAGGCTGGAAAGTCCAGTCTGGGTGTGAAGGAAAACGGGAACCCTGGATAGAGGGAGTCAGGTTGAAGGATCACCTGACTTGAATGGCAGAGTAAACTATGAGTAAATTTTCGGCAGGTTAAATATGAGGTAATGGGAAGATATTAGCAGCGTTCATTCTTCTAGCTGGCAATCACAGGTACAAAAGGGAGTCCGGATGAGAAGAAAGCACTGAGGACATGGTGGGGGAAAGTATGAGAACAAAGGGAAGGTGGCAGCCAAGTGCGGGGCATCTGCCCCCAGAGCCAGGTCTGTGCTGCCCCTGCTCACCCTTTCTTCTTGTCAAAGACCAGCCCCTGGTGGCTGGGTGTGGTGGATCACACCGGTAATCCCAGCACTTTGGGAGGACAAGGCAGGCAGATAATTTGAGGTCAGCCTGGCCAACATGATGAAACCCCATCTCTACCAAAAACACAAAAATTATCTGGGCATGGTAGCATGTGCCCGTAGTCCCGGCTGCTCAGGAGGCTGAGGCAGGAGGATCACTTGAATCTGGGAGGCAGAGGTTGCAGTGAGCTGAGGTCACACTACTGCACTCCAACCTGGGCCACAGAGCAAGACTCTGGGGAAAAAAAAAAATGCCTCTCGGGACTGCCTGGCTGTGTGAGCGGGTCACGTGTATACACACACAGGTGCAGTGAACAAGCAGCTACTCTAGGAGGGTGTGGCGCGAGGAAGGGTTCGTTCTGCATTGGCCCTCCACTGGCTGATACCTTGGATGGAAAGCTCAGCTGACATCGAGGCCTTCCCTGACCCGTTCACCACCAGGCACGTGTACACTACCATATCATCTTGGTTGACTCCATGGATTTCCAGAAGCTGCATCCCATTCTTCTCAGACATAGAAACACGGGCACTCGGCTGCAGTGGAACATTCCCCTGTGGATGGCAATGGGGTAACTCGGTCACACAAATCTGCCTACCTTCTGGCTGTGTCCTCATGCCTCCTGCCAATCCTGGTGGGACGGACTCCAGGGCCTGGGCAGCAGTGCCCTCTGCTCTGGGCTCTGTCAGTGTGCTCAGAGAGCTGACTGGACAGTTCAGGGACCCTGACTTGAGGCCTATGGATGTGGTGTGGTGCTCTGTCCTGCTTAGAGCAGATGCCTGCAAACTGTTTCGAAGGAGCCTGAGTTTGAGGCAGGAAGTGCAGTATTCCTCACTTCAGTTTTTCCTTACCCCCCTGTTCCTTTTAGTCTTTTCCTAGGGGAGTTCAAGACAGTTAGGAAGCAGGTAAAAGGTGTCAACACTCACTTTTACCCAGGGATTCCATCTCTGAAAAACCTATTCTCCCTGGCCATGACTCTACCTGTTCCCCACAGATCCTCACTGCCCTGTTTAACACCCACCCCAACCCCACGCCACTGCTTCCCTGCCCCCCCACCTCTCCCACTTCTGCTTCATTTCCCCCAGCACTGAATGGTTTATAAATCTCTTCCACATGGAGCCTCCAACAATATTTTGAGGTAGGTGGCATTATTTCTGTCTCACAGATAAGGGAACCAGGGTTCCAAGAAATCAAATGACTTGTCCAGCTTCACAGGCTTTATAAACCAGGAAGCTGTAGCTTGACACCTAGTACCCTAACTTCACAGTCCACTCTCTTGAGATTTCCAGGCTTGTCTTGACTCAGAAGTTTTTCATTATTTTGTGAGTGTGAGAATTGTCAAAACACTGTGGCCTGAGTAACACAGGGAGAGTTGTAATAGGGGCAGGAACATGTATCACTAACAAATGTACAGAGAACCCCTGAGAACCACCTGAAACAGCAGGAACAGAATGGAAAGACTCCTACTAGTTGAAGGGTCTAACCCTGAATTTGCAGGGTCCATAAGGCTGTGATATGGTTTGGTTGTGTCCTCACCCAAATCTCATCTTGAAATGTAGCTCCCATAATTCCCACATGTCATGGGAGGGACACAGTGGGAGGTAACTGAATCATGGGGCAGGATTTCACATGTTCTCATAGTGAATAAATAGTGATTTATTTATGAGATAGTGAATAAATCTCATATGATTTGATGGTTTTATAAAGGAGTTCCCTTTCACATGTTCTCATGCCTGCCACCATATAAGGCATGACTTTGCTCCTCATTTGCCTTTTGCCATGATCGTGAGGCCTTCTCAGCCATGTGGAACTGTGAGTCCATTAAACCTCTTTCCTTTACAAATTACCCAGTCTCAGGTATGTCTGCTAGCAGCATGAGAACAGACTAATACAGGCTGGATCAGGGTCAGGGCAGACAGAAACCTCACCTTGAGCCAGGTGACCTGCAGTTGGGACCGGTGAGTAATCTTGCAGGAGAATCGTCCCATCTGTCCTTCTTTGACCACAACTCGGCCCAACTTGGTAGCAAACTTTGGTGGGCACTCCCCCTAGATGCTAGGACGGGTCTCTACTGCTGGAGCTGAAAATCTATCCCTGTAAAGACATTGGCAGAGAATCTAGTCCCAGACAAGGCAGAAATTGTACCCTCTTCTTTCCACCCCACCCAAAGGCACTAAGTTGGGGTCAGAAACCATCAAAGGGTAGCGTTCCCAATTTTATGCCTCAGAAACTTTCTCATGCTCTCTCTGGAAAAATGTGTAGGACCAAGACCGATTTCCTCTACCTCTTGGGCATACAACTAGGCTTCATTTACTAGCCTGCCTTGCAGTTAGGTATGCCTGAATTCTACCGATCTCTGGCTGAAAACTGGGGTTTTGACCAGGAGCCCATGAGCAGAAGAACAGTATGCCACTTCCAGGGCCACCTCATAAGAACCTCCTGTGAGGGTCAGCACAGTCTCTCATCCACTCTAGTGGTGAGATGCAGAAGGCCCAGCAGGGGCTCAAGGGCCTAGGAGATGAAGCTGTAAAATGGAAGAAGCCTGGGCTCCTAGAAGATAATGTGGAAGGCTCTCCACTTGTTCCAGGATATCTGAATTGAACTTTCCTTGAGTAAGAAACAAACTTTCACTGGGTTGAGCCATTGTGATTTGAGGCTTGTCCATTACAGCAGCTGCTGTTACCCGCCTCTTCTAGGTTTGCGTATTTCAATCTTCTGACTACTGCCTTGATTGTTAGAGTCCACTGCAGACTATGGCCACCTCTCCCACCTCCTTAGCATTTAGCAACTAGGCCAGTCAAAGGGGCCAATCACAGAGGCAGCAAGGTCAGGAGGTGCTGCGTGTGAATGACACATCTCATTGCACTAGGCCCTTTGGTTAATATAACCTAGGAGAGCCAAGAAGACTTACTCCCCAGACCTATCCTGCTCAAGTCAGCAGGAAAGCGATCCAACCCTTATTCTGTCTTGAACATCAAGGACTTACCCCAAGGTTTTGGAAACAACAGGTTGACCAAGTTGCTTAGCAAAACTTCCTGCAAGAAAAAGGGCTGATGAGTCAGGTCTGAGCCACCAACTTGGAGCAATGAAAGTAAAAAAGATTCAACACCAGGGGTGGGTGAGATAGTAATGGTGATCATTAATCTTGACTGAGCATGGGCTGTGTCATTATGGGTATTATGGTAGGTGTTTACATACATTATCATGTGAATTTCTTGCAATAATTTTATGAAGCTGATACTATACTATCTTATTTTTTTTAAATTTATTTTGCTTTAGGTGCATACTATAATCTGGCATTTCTCCTCATTATCCCTCACCATGCCCCCACTGTCTCTCCCCTATCCCCACAACTACCCTGAGTGTGTGATGCTCCTCTCCCTGAGTCCACATGTTCTTGTTGTTCAACACCCACCTATGAGTGAGAACATACGGTGTTTGACTTTCTGTTCTTGTGTCAGTTTGCTGAGAATGATGGTTTCCAGATTCATCCAAGTACCTACAAAGGACACGAACTCATCATTTTTATGGCTGTGTAGTATTCTGTGGTGTATATGTACCACATTTTCTTTGTCCAGTCTATCATTGATGGGCATTTGGGGTGGTTCCAGGTCTTTGGTATTGTACACAGTGCTGCAATGAACATACATATGCATGTGTCTTTATAGTAAAACTATTTATAGTTCTTTGGGTATATACCCAGTAATGGGCTTGCTGGGTCAAATGGAATTTCTATTACTAGATCCTTGAGAAATCACCACACTGTCTTCCACAATGGTTGAACTAATTTACACTCCCACCAACTGTGTAAGAGTGCTCCTATTTCTCTACATCCTCTCCAGCATCTGTTGTCATTTTTTAGTGATCACCATTCTAACTGGCTTCAGATGATATCTCAATGTGGTTTTTATTTGTATTTCTCTAATGACCAGTGATGATGAGCATTTTTTTATATATTTGTTGGCCTCATATATGTCTTCTTTTGAAAAGTGTCTGTTCATATCCTTTG